CTCACATTGGTGAAACAAAGAGCCCAAATGCAAATATGTTACCTGAACACAGTAAAACAACGAAACAGTCATAAGTGACATTAACGTATTAAACAAACCAGTTTCTGTCTTTGTTTATAGATTGCATCAATTCAGTTTCTACAGAAGCAGATTTCTTGATTTCTCCGGGAAAAAAACAAAAGTTGATCTGGAACAACATTTGAATCTTGTTAAGGTACTTATTTCAGAGCCTAGAAGAGGAAGAACAAGAAAAGTGCAGACCATAAAAGACCAAACATATCTACTGATTTTGGGATATTCATCGTAACAAAGCCAGATCTAATAAAAAGTTTATTATATTAAAAAGGAATCTACATGTTGGGTTATTTTTCCCCCAAATTAGCTTAAACATTTCCAAAACACATAGAATAGAGTAAGAAGAAGAAGATTGAAGTTTTTTTACCAGCGATTCCGGCAATATCTTTACACATGGAGATAGAGAAATGACCATTGAAAGCGAAGACATCCATGAGATGAGATAAGCTTTCTCTGTCTTTCTCTGTCGTAAAGTCTACTTTTTTATTCTACAGAACAATAAAGCTTCTGCTTTTTTCTTCTTGCTCTGTTCTGTTCTTATGGAATTCTTCAAAGAGAGAGAACTAATAGAGACGAGATTTATGAGAGATTTCTTTTAAGAAAAATGATGAATATTTGAAACCCAGAAAATGAAAGAAGACTTTGTTTTAAAGAGGAAGAAGCAAAAAGACTGATTGTGTACGACTATATATATATGCGGTTGAGATTTAGCTGGTGTGTATCTCTCTACTGTTGTACCATCTTACAAAAAGTGTCTTAAAAGTTTAGTAGTATATGATAACTTTAAACATATCTAAAAACCATAATTTGAAAACTTAAAAAAAAAACTAATCTTTGATTAATACACGTGATTGGCTCTATTGATTATGCGTTAAATTTATAATTTTGTACTTATTAGAATGTTAAAAGATTGACAAGGCTAACTAGGGGCTAAGTGACAAGGCTAAGTTATTTACTCGGATTCGGTTGTTTCGCAACTATGTGCCTTGAGTAAATACCGATTGGTATTTGGCCTACATATTTTCTAATTTTTGTCTTGTCATGGATTTAACTCTTAGGTTTAGTATTTTATTTTAAAAACAAATTGTCATTCTTGAATTGATCATTTTTAATGATATTAACGTTTTAGCCAAAAAAAAAAAGAATTTCAAATAATAAACTAATTACATAGTATTCTACTTGTATCAAACATAGAATTAAAAAAAATCGAGAAAATTAAATATGCAAATTTGATATAAACTCACTTTTAGTAGATAATGGGTTTCGGTTATTTATATGGTTTATCACATTAGTTTACTTGTATATGTATTCAACGTGTACGTTTATTTCATTCAATGAAGATAAACCATTTATTTAGCTCTCATCTAAAATTCACAAAATGTACTTTTCTCATTTAATATTTCAATTTCACAAATATTCCAAAAATCTCAAAATTATATCGCAAATGTGAAAATCATGACCAACATGAGACACTTATGAAATGTCTTCTCGTCGACATTGATCCCCACTTGATTAAATTATTTGAGATGATCGTTGCAGACCAATCAAATTTTTTCCTTTTATGGATTGAGTTTTGAGCTTTTTTTCGTGGTCTACATTTGATATTCTACCCTTGCACAAATATTTA